TTAAATTTGTAAATGGGTTAATTACTTTTTTAGTCATTGCACACTTTAGGGTATTTACAAGATTAGTCCTAAGCTTCAACTATAAATACCCTAGCTCATTTAGCTTCAAAATCATCCCAAAACATTTCTTTCTTCCTATACTAGAGAGCTTTCTTGTGAGTAGTGAGTGTTTTGTAAACACCTGTAAATTTTCTCTTAGTAAAAGATCTGCAGCAGCCCGGAGACGTAAGCACAATTGGCTGAACTCCGTTATCAATTTTCAGGTATTATTTTTCCGCTTTTATTTCGCATTCTCACTAATCTGGTTATAGGGAAATTACCTGTACTCGGTTTATTTCCTAACAACTGGTATCAGAGCTTTTGGTTGTGAATTCTGTCAATTTTTTGCGAGGTTACTATTCGGGTTACTATTCACGTGAATAGTGAATTTCATGAATAGTGAAATTCGGTCGGCGATACGAGTTTGTCGACGGAGGTGTTCTAATACACGACGGTTCGCAGAAATTGTCAGAAACGATCCAAACGAAGTCAGATTCGAGTGGGAGCGATGGCTGCAGACGAAGGGAAGGTGAAAATTGAAAAGTTCGATGGTGCGGACTTTGGATTTTGGAAGATGCAAATTGAAGATTTTCTGTACCAGAAAAATCTATATCAACCCCTCTCAGGAAAACAACCAGAGGACATGAAGAAGAAGACTGGGCTCTTCTCGACAGACAAGCCCTCGGAGTTATCCGACTGACGTTATCCCGCAATGTTGCTTTCAACATAGCAAAGGAAAAGACCACGGCGGGTCTTATGGCTGCTCTCTCCGGTATGTATGAGAAGCCATCGACCTCAAACAAAGTTCATTTGATGAGGCGATTATTCAATTTGCGGATGGCGGAAGGGGCATCGGTGGCACAACACCTAAATGAACTCAACACAATCACAACCCAATTGAGTTCAGTGGAAATTGAGTTCGATGATGAAGTTCGAGCTTTAATTCTCTTATCATCTCTACCAGACAGTTGGAATGCTACTGTTACAGCAGTCAACAGTTCGTCGGGAAACAGCAAATTAAAATTTGACGATGTTCGAGATCTGGTATTGAGCGAAGAAATTCGACGGAGAGAATCGGGTGAAGCATCAACCTCATCAGCCTTGCACACGGAGTCTAGAGGGAGAACTTCAGAAAGAAATTCAAATCGTGGCAGATCGAAATCCAGAAGGGGAAAATCAAGAACAGGAAATAAAGATTTTACCTGTTATAATTGCGGCAAGAAGGGTCACTTCAAAAGAGATTGTCGAGCACCGAAGAAAAATACCGGCGCACAGGAATCTGCCAACATGACAGAGGAGACAGGTGATGCCATGATTCTAAGCGTCAACAGTCCGATTGAATCATGGATCTTGGATTCATGGGCATCTTTCCACTCCACCCCATGCCAAGAAATCATGGAGAACTATATCAGTGGTGATTTTGGGAAGGTTCATCTTGCTGATGATGAAACCTTGAAGATCGTCGGAAAAGGAGACATCCGACTAAAGCTGCCAAACCAGACCACCTGGAAGCTGACAGGAGTGAGACATATTCATGGCCTCAAAAGAAATCTGATTTCTGTTGGACAGCTTGATGGAGAAGGTTATAGTACAACCTTTTCAGGCTGTGAATGGAAGATTACCAAAGGAGCACTCGTCATTGCTCGTGGTAAGAAGACTGGTACTGTATATGTAACCTCGAATTTAGAGAATATCATTGCAGTAGCAGATGCTGAAGGAAAATCAAACCTATGGCACCAAAGGCTTGGCCATATGAGCGAGAAAGGGATGAAGATACTTTTGTCAAAAGGGAAGCTGTCGGATCTAAAGAATGTAGATGTCGGACTATGCGAGGATTGCATCTTTGGTAAACAAAAGAAAGTCAGCTTTACAAAGATTGGCAAGACTCCCAAGGCAGAAAGGTTAGAATTGGTTCATATTGATGTATGGGGACCATCCCCAGTTCCATCTCTTACAGGCTCACTATATTATGTCACCTTCATCGATGATTCAACAAGGAAGGTATGGGTTTATTTTCTGAAGAAGAAATCAGAAGTCTTTGATACCTTCAGAAAATGGAAGGCCATGGTGGAAAATGAGACTGGTTTGAAAGTCAAGCGGTTGAGGTCTGACAATGGAGGAGAGTACAGAGACAGTAGATTCAGAGATTTCTGCGCAAACAATGGGATTAAGATGGAGACAACAGTTCCCATAACACTGCAGCAGAATGGTGTAGCAGAGCGCATGAACAGAACTCTGAATGAACGTGCCAGAAGCATGAGGATACATGCCAGATTGCCCAAATCTCTATAGGCTGAAGCTATCAACACTGCAGCTTACCTGATCAACCGTGGGCCCTCAGTTCCTTTGGATGGTGGAATACCAGAGGAAGCTTGGAGCAAAAAAGAAATAAACATTTCACACTTAAGAGTGTTTGGTTGTATTTCTTATGTACACATAAACTCTGCTGAAAGAAGTAAACTTGATGCTAAGTCCAACAAATGCGTCTTTGTTGGTTACGGTGGTGATGAGTTCGGTTACCGGTTTTGGGACTACGAAAATCGAAAGATCATCATAAGCAGAGACGTCATTTTCAATGAAAATGTGATGTACAAAGACAGGTCAACCGCAGAATCAAGTAATACCGAAGCTGAAATAAAGGAATTTGCTGAGTTCGAGGAGACTTTTGGAAATGATGTTCAGATCAGTCCTGAAGCAGTTCAAGAGGAAGAACCATGCACACCAGAACTGAGACGCTCCTCCAGAATTCCTAAACCAACCCAACGGTATTCGCCTTCTTTGCACTACTTGTTGTTGACTGACAATGGTGAACCAGAGTGCTATGATGAAGCGATGCAGGTGGATGATTCAGTCAAGTGGGAGTCTTCCATGAAAGATGAGATGGACTCGCTTATGTCAAATCAGACGTGGGAATTAGCTGAATTACCACCAGGCAAGAAAGCGCTCCATAACAAGTGGATTTACAAGATCAAAGAAGAGCACGATGGGAGAAAACGCTACAAAGAAAGATTGGTTGTCAAAGGCTTTCAACAAAAAGAAGGTATTGACTACAATGAAATTTTCTCTCCAGTCGTAAAACTGTTTACAATCAGACTGGTGTTGAAAATTGTAGCTGCAGAGAATTTACATCTTGAGCAGTTAGATGTAAAGACAGCTTTCCTTCATGGTGATTTGGAGGAAGAAATCTATATGAGGCAGCCAGAAGGCTTCATAGAGGCAGGCAAGAAAAACCTGGTATGCAGGTTGAAGAAGAGCTTGTATGGTTTAAAACAAGCTCCTAGACAGTGGTACAAGAAGTTTGATAATTTCATGAGTAGCAATGGTTTTACCAGATGCCAAGCAGATCATTGTTGCTACATCAAGAGGTTCGACAATAGCTTCATTATTTTATTGTTGTACGTTGATGACATGCTCGTTGCAGGATCAAACATGCAAGAGATTATACACTTGAAGCAAAAATTGTCGAAGCAGTTTGCTATGAAGGATCTGGGAGTTGCAAAGCAGATTCTTGGGATGAGGATCAAGAGAGACACAAAGTCGGGGACTTTGATGTTATCACAGGCTGAGTACATCAACAAAGTACTCTCCAGGTTCAACATGCAAGATGCTAAACCAGTAAGTACACCTTTAGGTGTTCATTTCAGACTCTCCAAAGACCAATCACCAAAGACGGAGGAAGAACGTGCACACATGGTGAAGGTGACGTATGCCTCAGCAATTGGAAGTCTGATATATGCCATGGTTTGTACCAGATCAGATATTGCTCATGCAGTGGGAGCTGTTAGCAGGTACATGAATAATCCAGGCAAGGTACACTGGGAAGCTGTCAAATGGATCCTCAGATATCTGCGGGGTACTACAAACAAAACACTTTGTTTCAAAGGTGGAGATACGATACTGACAGGCTATGTAGATGCTGACTTAGCCGGAAATGTTGACATCAGAAGGAGCACTACAGGGTATGTCTATACTCTAGGAGGTACTGCAGTGAGTTGGGTTTCTCAACTACAGAAGATAGTTGCTCTCTCCACAACTGAAGCAGAATATGTCGCTGTTACGGAAGCCAGCAAGGAGATGATTTGGCTCCAAAGTTTCTTGGAAGAGTTAGGCAAGAAACAAGAAAACAATGTTTTGTATTGCGACAGTCAAAGTGCTATCCATCTAGCAAAGAATCCGTCTTTTCATTCCAGAACGAAGCATATACAATTGAGATATCATTTTATTCGGTCTCTTCTGGAAGATGGGATTTTGAAACTTGAAAAGATTAGTGGAGCTCAAAATCCGGCAGACATGTTGACAAAGACAGTGACCACGGAAAAACTAAAGTTGTGTTCAGCTTCAGTTGGCATGCTAGAGTAACAGGACTAGAAAAGCTGCTGCATTGATCAAGGTGTGAAGACAGATTAAAATCAGTCTTCAAGTGGGAGATTGTTGGAAGTCAACAAAGGTGGGCACCGCCTGGAAATCAAAAATTTCAAATTGGGTGGGCAGAAATTCAACAAAGGGGGGCACCGTTCGGTGCCCCAATTTTTAATTAAATTTGTAAATGGGTTAATTACTTTTTTAGCCATTGCACACTTTAGGGTATTTACAAGATTAGTCCTAAGCTTCAACTATAAATACCCTAGCTCATTTAGCTTCAAAATCATCCCAAAACATTTCTTTCTTCCTATACTAGAGAGCTTTCTTGTGAGTAGTGAGTGTTTTGTAAACACCTGTAAATTTTCTCTCTTAGTAAAAGATCTGCAGCAGCCCGGAGACGTAAGCACAATTGGCTGAACTCCGTTATCAATTTTCGGGTATTATTTTTCCGTTTTTATTTCGCATTCTCACTAATATGATTATAGGGAAATTACTTGTACTCGGTTTATTTCCTAACAGCATGAAATATTCATTTGAAACCCTAAGAACGAAGAACAAAGTAAGAGTTCTCTTCTGCTGCGATTCAAAGAAATCATCTGATGAAACTAATATCATACAAGAGATCGTGCAAGACGAGGGAAACGATCGCCGTAAGAAAACCAACAAGAGAGCTTCAAAAGCCGAGTGATAAACATGAGATGTGGAACTCTGATGATCAAAACCAGGGGGAAGTTGAAGAAATCTGTTCTGATCCTGATACCGTAAAAGATGATGAGATCGAAGCAATGTTTGATAAGTTTAAGAGTCGGAAGAATACGACGGAGGAAGATCCTCAGGCCATCGGATTACTTGTTGAGAAAGTAATGGCTCTAATGGAGATTGCTGCCGAAGAAGACATTGTGTTAAACAGGCAAAACAAACCCACCATTAAAAAGATTCAGATGCTGCCTCTTCTTATCGATTTTCTTTACAAGAAACATCTTCAATCAGAGTTTTTGGATTATGGGGTTTTGAGTTTGTTCAAGAATTGGTTGGAACCTCTTCCCGATGGAAGCTTACCAAACGCCACTCTTCGAGCTTCGATTTTGAATATCTTAACACACGTCATGCCTGTGGATATAAGGGCAGAAGATCGAAGGGAGCAGTTGAAGAAGAGTGGGCCGGGTAAAGTCATCATGTTCCTGTCAAAATCGGACGAGGAAATCACTGCCAATAGACAACTTGCAAAAGATTTGGTTGAAAACTGGAGTCGAACCATATTCAACAAGACTACAAAGTATTCGGAAGAAGAAAAAGTTGTTATTCCTTTGAAGATGGCATCACCATCACCATAGAAGAAGCAATCAGCAATGGAAGTGAAGGAGGCTGATTTAGATTTGGAAATATCGCCCAAGAAATCATGTTCATCGGCGAGCGGTGGTGTTGCAGTGCCAGAAGCAGCAGCACTAGTTTATGTGTTGAATCCAGGAACAAAGTCCAAGCCGGAGGTTGAAAGAGCTCGTGTGAGATACCTAAAACAGAAAGACTGCAACTGCAAGCGTTACATGAAGATAGAGAAGAAGTTGAGAAAGTTGAAAAACCCGAATAAGAAGACAGTTCGTATGCTTTTGTAAAGCTCCTTGATGGCTGATTATCTTGCGAATGGTACTCTGAGAGATGTTTGTTTCAAGGCCCGGTGGTGAGACCGTGCTCCTGTGGTTTTAGTTTTATTCGGCGAGATTGCGGTTTGTAATCGGGTTGATTTCTGTGTAAACTTACTCTGGTTGTGTTGTTATATTTTCCATTAGGGAGGTTTTTAACGTGACACAATTCAAGTTAATTCTTAATAAAATATATGTTTTACTAAAAAATATCAGATTTGTTGAATGCAAATTTCAATATTTTCTTTTGTACCTTTTTATAAATTCTGAATATAGCTTAAGTTTGCATCACTGTCAAATATGGATTTCATCAACTCATCAAATATATTCACAGCTGCAGAGTAAAAAAAATAAGAAAGTAAAAATTTGTAAATTGCATGCATGTTGAAGAAGGGTTGGACAATCATGATATCCTTGTTTGCTGATTCATTAATACTTTACTACTTTTGCTTAAGATCAATAACAACTCATGTTGTGATATACATTAAGGAATCAATCATTCTCAATTGATATAAAAAATGAGTCTTACTATATGGGATGAAGCTGTAATGGCTCAATTGATATCTTTTGATTCACAATTGCAGATTTGATAACAAGTTGTTGGTGGTAAAACAATTATTTTAGGAGGTGATTTCAGACAAATACTGTTTGATCTTGTTTACTTGAAGGATCATTCTATTTTTCTCCCATCAATGAAGATGTTGACAAGATGATTGATTTCCTGCTTTCTAAATTGCATGGATAATAAAAAAAAATTCTTGATTTGTATGAATCAAGTTATCTCAATAGTTTAGGGTGTGGACCTTATTGGAACCTCTTTTCTATATTGCCCGGTAGAATATACTCTTTTGCTTCGCTTAGATTTATTGAGGTTTTTAACGAGGCATTCTACGTTGGTCACGACTTTATGATTACGTTAATAAAAAGCATATTTGCCAGAGAAAAAAGTGTAAACACAAACCAATTTCAGTAGTAACAAAAAATATGAGATTTGTTGTCTGCAGATTTCAATATTTTCTTCTCTACGTACGTGTTTATAATATTCTGTATATAGCTTAGGTTTGCATCGCTCTCAAATATGGTTTATTCTGCAAAGACAAAGTGGAAGAGTGGATAAATGGAACGAGTTTATGATTTGGTTTGATAAAAACATGAGTAAATAAGGTACGTATAGCATTATGGATTGCAATTGGAACCCACTTTTTACCATTATATGCTGGAATTTATGGAAGAAAGAAAATGCTCTTATTTTTTAGGAAAAATACACAGAGAAAGAATGTGTTATCGTAACATGTAGGCGGCTCCATGAGAAATTAGTAAGGAAAATGGAATTTCCACACTGCAAATTCCAAATCATTTGAGAATACAAATTATTGTTGTGCCCAAAAAAACAAATTTTGGTTAGAATCATAGCAGAAATAATTAAATGATTCGGTTGATCCATTTGAATAATTAAACGTTTCATAATTAGTGAACTGAATTTATTACCATAATCTTTATTTTCATTTTCCAAAAAGATCATCGATTTATTTAACCATGATCATGAGCTAGTGCATATATATGCTCCTGAAAAATAAGTGGGTATTGGAAGCAGTGGCTAAAGTAGATGAAGCCATGAATTTGACCCCTGTTGATTTTTACAATTCAGGGAAGTTTTCTCCACTTGAGAATGCATTCAAGATCCTTGCTAGTTTTAATAGTTCCTCTACCACCCTTACAGTTGAGCCAAAAACCAGCTTAGCGAGAAGGAATCTATCAAGCTGACGATTACTCATAACATGAATAGTAATGTAGTCAGATATAAAGAGGTGGAATCGGAGGTGAAACAGGTAGAGCAAAAACTTGCTGCCTTGCAGAAGCAAGTTGAAGAAGCAGAAAAGGAAAGGGAGAATATGTTGGCTGAACGAAATGGGATATTCAGAAGTTCGAAGAACATGAAAGTGGAGTTGGATGCATTGGGAAAGGAATGGAGAGAGTATGATACCAAAGCCAAGGTTGCTGAGAAGGGAGAGAAGACTGTTGTTGAGGCTGAATGAGGAAGAATCAAACATTTTATCTCTTCTATAAAGGGAATGATTTGAAGAAATTTAATGGTATTGGTGTTTTGAGGAAGATTTGTATTAGAAATCCATCAAGCATAGTTTGTATTAGACTTGCGTTATGTATTAGGGAGCGGGTGAAGAATGGATAACAAAAAAGTGGCAGTAAAACTGTATTCATTTAAATTTTCATTAAATAAATTTACATGAAATAATTTTATAAGATGTACAAACCTAAGGTGTACTAGTTCTATCCTTTGGATAGCAAACAAACTCGAGTACGACATTGTCTACAAGGTTCAACACGAATATATTCGGAGGGGGGTGGGGGATCAATTCTCCTACGGATTTGGAAGACCCTTCAACATACCCAAATTCAAATATGAGCCAGATACGAGTGTCAAACATGGTTACTTCAAGAACAATGAAGAGTCCAATGTTGAATAAGAACAAAATCACCCTTTTTCATCTCCTGGGAGTGTCCAATAATGAATTCATTTCTCTTCCTACAGCTATAGATTCAGTCTGAGTCCGGAACTTTTCGATTTCCCTTGCTATCTGAACATCGGAAGGTACATACAACTGATAAAGAAACTTCGCTACAAAACGGGGAATTAGTGCAGCCACGATGATGGCAAGCAAACACAACCAGAACAATCCAGTCTTCGCGATTTCAAAGATGGCCCTGTAAAAGCATAGCAGTGCCGAGGGTCACAACATTGTATACAATGGAAATTTATATATCAACGAAAGATTTACTCTAAATGAATAATTAATCAATCGAAAGGTCATAATTGAGATGTTCTAGCCTCGAGATGACTGCCAAGTACATAAATATAAAACTGGGGATGATCATGCTTACATAAAAACATCATACATGCGTACATGTATTTATATGCATGTTCATAAGCGTACACACATACTTGTGAATCCGTATGATATATAGAGTGGATAAAATAAACTTGAACTTGAAATCTGCCTGAACCTACTTTGACCCAAATGACAAAAAGTCAAAGGCCAAAGCCAAATGGCTCAAACCGAAAGAAATCTGAACACAAAATGATCCGAATTCAAATTCATCCTATATTTGCCACCTCTATCTGTACATATCAATATATACTTGTAGAATATTGGTATGTTGTTTTAGCATGCAAGTAAAAATCCTAATGTTTTAAGGTATTTTTATGGGGAAATATTTGTCAACATGCTCAGTTAAAGTAAATAAAACCTCGGAATATATATGTGATAAAAGGAGCTTACCAGTAACCAACTAAAAATGATAAAGAATCAATAACGATAACACAAATCAAAGTTGCGATTATAGATCCCCAAATTGCTGCATGAGTTAGCCAATTCCACCGCACAACATCCATGGCCAAATGTAAATTCACCAATATGACAACAGCAAGAGTCCAAAGATCTCCTATGCTCGATGCATCAATGGTGCTGCCCCAGTATGCAATAAGAGGAATAAAAAAGGCAACTGCACTTTGCCAGAAAGTATCTATCATTGTTATCCAGAAAAGCTTTTTGTTGTAGCATTCATGTCTTTGCCCGGTACCATATAGCTGAGGGTACTTTAAAAGAGTCCTTCGGCTCAGGTCCTTATCAAGAATACCGACCACAATCGTTGGCAATGATGTGTAGATTATAGAATACAACACACTGCTCCACTCAGTGATTGCAGTAGTCAAAGTGAAACAAGTAAATAGCACGTACCTGCAAAGAAAATTAAAAAAGTTAAAAGGTACTCAGCCAAAAATGGAGTTTATTTTAAATGATCACAATGTGATTCAACTTCTACTCTGAACTAAGTGTAAATAATTATTTTCAAAACACATACACACATATAAAACAGGCAAGGATGACATATTATTGCCTTGAACCCTGTTTTACCTGATCAATAAGTAGCAGATGATATGATGAATCTAAGGTAAAATCGAGGTTCACTTAAACCACCAACATGCTCGAACACCTGATAGATTGAATATATGCATGCAACAATAAAGTATCTAAAAGTAACTCACCAAAACAAAACAAGGACAAACACCGCATTCCTGTAAAAATTGTAAAGGATCATGTAGCCCATCCTCTGGTAATTCCAATGGCCATGGACCAACAAAAGAGGGACTAAGAATCTAAACTGCCCCATCGCAAAATCTGATGCCATTACAGCTTGCCTACCCTCTTGGCCACTGATTCCAACTCCGACATCCGCCATTTGGATCATTGAAACATCATTGGCACCTGTCAAGCATCCAATAGAATGGGTTTAATTGGCCCAAACCACCAGAAAGAAAAATCAATAGATTGATGATTACCATCCCCAATGGCAAGTGTCATGTCTGCAGTCCTCTTCTTTACAAGGGCCACAATTCCAGCTTTTTGTAACGGGGCTACCCGACAACACAAAACCACAGAACAATTAGAGGCTAACTGGAAAAGCTGCAAGCAAAGATGAAAAAAGTGTCATATCAGCATGCCGGAAATCAGAAAAGAGGGGAAACTTGAGTTTGCAACTCCTTACACTTTCTTCCAGTTCACTATCAAGAATATATACAAGGCTGGTGCCATCGATAATCAAGGCTACAGGAGTTAAACCAGCTCCCGACATTCTTCCTGTGTCATTTGTAATGCCTGATATAGTTGTGAGTT